TTCCAGGCGAAGTGAAATTTTTGTCAATTACATTTTACACACTGGTGAAAAATCGATTTTTTTATGTGGGATTTTAAGTTCGCTTCGATCTCTATATAATAGTTCGTTTAAAAATGCTATAACAATCGCCAAGCTCGCTGTATTGGCACCAAGTGCCTCGTCACCTACGAATTGGCGCCTATGTCAGTGGTCTAATAACCCTTAGCGTGTTAATGGCATAGTTCCCCTGCCGCATAGAGAGTTGGTGCAATGATATTAGGTTAGCTAAGGTCAATTAACTGACTGGTGGGAAACGGGAGCTTCAGCATTGACTATTATGTACGCATTTTTATGATGTTATCTAACAACAATGGTGTGTAGTGTTTACACGATCATGTTTCTAATTCTAATGTGTTGTAAATATAATTGAAAGCATTTGAAAAGTTAGATTCTAATGTTTTGTATATCTAAAAACATTAGTAAACACCTACATTTGAGCAGTTTGGAAATGTACGAATAATTACGCCGCCAGAGAGCGACTTTTGAATACCCTTGAGGCCCAAGGAAGACAACCCTATGTTCCTATCAGAGACGTGTTGGGAACTCGTGATATCTCATGATATCTGCAGTCGGTTGGTGTGTTTCTTCAATTGTCTAGTATAAGAATTTAATTCCTTTGTCTTTTGTCTCTCTTTAATAGTTTTTGTTTGTCTTGTCTCCCCGTCTCGATGAGTCTCATCGTCGCCCATTGGTCACCATAGCCGGTCAAACTCCAGACGAAACTAGAACCGCACTACCGTTCATACTGGCGACATCGCTCTGATGAGACAACGAAACCTTAGCCCCAAGCTCCTCCCCTGATCCTATCCTTTGATAATGTACCTCTCCAACCTCGAGTAAGCCGCGAGTATTCGGCACAACTCCTACTAGACATAGAATTAAGTAAATTTTGTTACAAACAAAGAACAATGACCTATCGGCTCCGTAAAGCTAATGCAATTGAGCCTTCTAAATAAACGAACTAGTTAAAAAAATCTACATTTTAAAACATTCAAACAATGTTTACTTTACACGTTTTGTACATCTGAAAACATCAGAGAACAACAATCACGAGGTACAATTGAAAACATTCGAACAACGTTTAGTTCTAACGTTATGTACATCCGAAAAGATTGAAATTCTTGACGTCAGAACGACATTAGAACAGCACCATTTTATTCCAAAATTTTTGATGTGTACACCATGTTACCAAACGGTGAACACTCGTGTTTATTTCAGTTACCATGGAGACGTAATTTGTGATTAGTCCCGGTCCCTTTCAAATTGTATCATTATTTATGAATGGCCTTATATTTGAAATGACGTTTCACATTCATCTAGTGATGTCCGATTTTCATTCGAATAATCGTTTAATCGATTAACGAACCGAAAAGTAAACTATTTATAATCGGTTAGATCATGTCGATATAGAGCATTTCCAGCCCAAAACGCAAACCGGTTGGTCATGAGTGTTTCCGATTTGAATGAAACATTTCTCACGTGTTCGCTGCTACTAATGGTTGCATTTTTCATTTAAATATGATTTTTTCCTCCAGAGTAACTTTTGAAAAGGGCGTATAAAAAATGGATTATTATTTTTTTCAAAAAATCATTACTTGAAAACTATTGATCTGATCAAAATGACATATCAGAAGAAGTTTTAGGTAGTTAAATTATCTTTGCGGAAAAAAAAACACTGAAAGAAAAACTTAGTAAATTAGTATTTAAAAAACGTAAAACGATGATTATCTCAAAACACCCCCCCTTCGATCTTTATAATTTTTTTTTTGCAAGAAAACTGAAAAAATGCCCTAATATTTGGTGAAGAGTGTATGCTGGTAACTTTCTTTAAAAAAAATCTATAGTTTTTGAAATTTTTGTTGGTTTTTACAAGTTGGTGAAATTGCATATTTTTTAGTAAAATAGTAATTTATTTGGATTCTACGCATAATTGTCAAATACTTTGCATATAAAAACTTTTTTCCTAAGTCCAGCCGTTCTCAAGTTAATGCAATTTAAAAAAAATAATTTTAATAATTTTCTACATTTTGGGCCATTTTCAAATGTTAGTCGTGATGTCCAGCAACGAGATGTTTTTCCATGAATATATATTAAAAACCAAACAATTCATTCTCAAATATGATAGCTGTCAGACTTACCCGTTTCTATTTAGAAGCAGCAGAAAAGAAACAAGTTTATAAGTAAATACTCTCAAATATACCCAAATAATCAACAAACCCACTCATGTGCCTTTTTTCTGTCCTCTATTAGTTGTATGCCTGGATAGAATTGTGTATGTCATAACAGAGGCTCAAAACATAAACAGGTAAACAAATATGTTATTAAACCTGTAATTGAGATAAATTCTCTAGGTACTTCTCTGACGTATACCATATTGTGCCTTAAGAGCTCATCCCGCGATATCACAACTACATAAAAAGGCACCCCGTGGAGGCTTCTTACACTCACACTTAAAAAAGTTTGCTATAATCAATTGTACCTAATGAAGATAGGTATAATGTCAACATTGTAATTATTCTGCTACATATATATATATATATATATATATTGGGACGTTCTTCACCTGTTCTGTATCCGCTGATTTGCCGCAGATCCCGCCTCTCAAGGGTGAAAAAACTGGCTGTCTACAAACAAATCATAGCACCTGCGATCCTCTATGCAGCTCCCCTGTGGGAATCATGTGCACAGACTCACAGGAACAAAATCCAAATCACTCAGAATAGAGTGCTGAGGATGGTTCTTGATCGTCCTTTCGACACTAGAATAACAAATTTACATGAAGAGGCAGGCATTGCCAAAATAGATTCCCGAATTAACGAAATTAAGACTAAATTTGCACAAAGATGTATTTTATCAGAACATGTATATAGTAGTTGTAGGTTAGTTTTAGTTGTAAATAGTAGTTATAAGTAGCCTCCTTTTTTTTCAAATTTTAAACAAACCAATCCCACCAAGGTTGTCATTCTTAAAACAGGCCTGATAGGACTAAAAACTGTAATTAATAATAATTTTAATTGAAAAGGAATTAAAGCTGAAAAGACGCATCTGTGTCACTTGATAAGGTATACATGTAAACCACACAATACAAGAAATAAAGATCATTTAAGTCAAGTTCTTCACCTGTTCCATTCAGTTCATCTCTCTTAGCGTTTCAAGTTAAAAAGCAAGTAGTTTTTTACGATGGATAACAATTTCAAGTGTTGTAAACCTCTACCTAAATCAATTTCAAAGCATGACACAGTAGCAGTTCAGTTGTTTATCTCAAAATTATTAGAATTTTTAAAGTCTTAAGAGAATGGCAACCAGAGCAAGTTTAGCTAAGCAACACGAGCACCCTATAACGAACCCTAAACAACTGTACGACTGGGCAAATAGTCGTAAAGAAGATCTTCAAACAAAAATGTCATTTTGTTATGTTTCTACGGAAGAATACAAAAAGGCTGACACGGAATTTGATCCAATTTTTAAGAAAGTGAAACCAATTCCTGGAACTCGAAAATATCATTGCTATATTCCAGTTTCAAACAACCAAATTGCAGTAAAAATATTCTCTAATTCAAACGATACACCCAAATTATTCAATGTATTCAAATAATATGAGTTGTAAAATAAAATAATAAATATATACTGTTTCTTATCTCAACAAATCTTTCATTTGACCACATCAACGTGCTTCTCTTCCGCTGCCTCTAGATAGAAACGGGTAAGTCTGACAGCTACCATATCTGAGAATGAATTGTTTGGTTTTTAATATACAATCATGAAATAAAATCTCGTTGCTGGACATCTCGACAAACATTTGAAAATGGCCTAATATGTTGAAAATTGTTATAATTATATTTTTTTAATTCGCATTAACTTGTGAACGGCTGGACTTAGGAAAAAAAAATTATATATGCAAAGTTATTGAAAATTATGCGTAAAATCCAAATAAATTATTATTTTATAAAAAAATATGCATTTTCATCAACTTGTAAAAATCAACAAAAATTTAAAAAATTATAGCTTTCTTTTTAAGAAAGTTACCAGCATACACTTTTCATGAAATTTAAGGGTATTCCATCAATTTTCTTGAAAAAAAAAAATTATAAAGATCGAAGGGGGGGTGTTTTGAGATAATCATCGTTGTACGTTTTTTAAATACTAATTTACGAAGTTTTTTCTTTCAGTGTATTTTTTCCGCAAAGATAATTTAATTACCTAAAACTTCTTCTCATATGCCGTTTTGATCAGATCAATAGTTTTCAAGTTATATTTTTTTGGAAAAAAAATAATCCATTTTTTTTATACGCCCTTTTCAAAAGTTACTCTGGAGGAAAAAATCATATTTAAATGAAAAATGCAACCATTAGTAGCAGCGAACACGTGAGCAATGTTTCATTCAAATCAGAAGGGGTCGAGACAAAATTGACATTTTTTTTAACGATTTGAGCTAGAAATGCTCTATAAGCATTAACATCTCCAAAGGATCATCACCGATCGTTTCAAACATGTGCTGCACTCTCTCTGGTGGAAAAATGGCAGCACAGCGAACAAAAAATAATCGATTAGTTGTTAATCGAGTAATTAAAAAATGGGACATCTCTGATTTTGGTGTGATTGTTTTGATAAAAATGAGCGCAAAATTTCATCTCTTCCGAGGGGCAGCAAAAACCACAGAATTACCTTGAATACGGGGGTTTCTTATTGGATGAAAGGGACCGTGAAAGAAGCCATTAAAATAGAAAGTTTTTTTTTCCGACAGTTTCATCTTAGTATTCATCTTTGATGTTACCTTGCTTATATACAACTAAATCATAATGTTTTCTAATGTTTGACATTAGGAATACATTTGATTTCAATGCTGATGTAGACATCAACATCAAACGTTGGGCTAATGTAAATTTTTGTTCGGGGCTGAACTCAATATTAAGTAAAAAGAACTCAAATTTTGGGTAGTATTTTTTTCCGTGCACACTCACCTTATTGTACTTGGCGGCATAGGTCCCCGTCAGCAGCGAGTGGAAAATGATGATGGTCTCGTCCAGATCCCACACGAAGATCCTCTCCGGTGCTTTCTCCGTCACTCCCGGTTCCGAGGTGGAACTCCGCGTTGGGCTGGGATGTGCGTGTCGTCGCCCCCGTGCCCGGCCGGGTTTCCCCGAGGGGGTCGTTTTGGCGGCTGCTGCTGCCGCCGCCGCTGCCACAGCAGCCGCCGAACCAGCCTGGATGGTGGGTGAGATGGACAGGGGAGATTGGGGCGAATGCGAGTGTGCCAACATGGTTGGCGTTGCTGCGGAATGCCCTTCCGAAGGGCTCTCAGCAGACAAGCCTGCCGCCACGTGGAAGCTTTGGCTCCCACTGGAACCGGGCGAGCTGACGTACGGTGGGTAAGTTGCTGTCTGGTAGTACGGTGAGTACGTTGGATCATTGTAGTTGTAGTAGTCCTGTTGACTAGTGCCGAACTGTGCGAAGTTATTGTAACCGTAGGAAGAGTAGATTTGTGCTGAGTTGTTGTTAGCTGCAGCCGCCGCATAGCTAGACGGAAGATATGTATTTGGTGATGGGATTTTCGAGGATGTTCTCGTTTGGTACGGGGAACCGTAGGATGAATACGTGAACGGTGCGTATTGCTGCATGTTGTAGGCGTACGGATAATATTCGGACTTATCATACGAGTTGGTGGATGTCTGTAGGGCGTCCAGGTTGTTGGGATTGGCACAGAATAGAGAGCTGTCCAAGTGGGTGGAGCCGACCGGGAGGTTTCCGCTAGCAATCGTCGCGTCTAGCCCCGGGCTGCGAATTTCCGATTTGACTGTACCGTCGGTCAGCCAATGCGACATCCCCAGCTCGGTCGAACCCAATGCGGCAGCTGACGTTCCGCTACCGGTGCTATTCAAACTAACGCCACTGTTGTTGATAGAACTGGCCGTAGGCAGCCCATCCAGGGAGTTTCCTGCAGTCCCAGCACTACTGCTGCTGCCGGAGGTGATCGTAGATGTTGCTCCTCCGTTCAAACGTGACACTACAGAACCACCGGATGTCGAGCTGTGATTTGCACCACCGGAAACGTACGATAAACTCAATCCGTTATGAGCATTGTGAATACTTGACGATCCACTCAGAGGACGGTAGTTGTTGTTCAACAAAGAATACGAACCAGCTGAATGGGAAGCCGTTGGATAGTGCAGCGTTGAACCACTCGATGGTAAGCAGCTGTCTACCGCACCGCCCGAGCTATGACTGGATACCGCCGTCGAGTTGTAAGTTCTGAAAAAGAAAAGGAAAACAAAGACTCAAGTTAAAAAAAATGAAACACTTATTCGATTGTTCAGGAGTAGGGCGCATTTACGTAGTTCAAATTACTTCATTACTCACGGTTAAACCGTATAAATCATAAACATTCACAACTGCGAAGGAGAAGGTTGATCCAAATTATTACCCTGAATCACGGAACCGTTAGAAAGTGTGTGATTTATTACGGCGTCAGTTCGTAGAAAGGCTTCGATACCACTTACCCCAGTCCGTGGGCCGTATGCCATTCCAAGGGTTGAGTCAAGCGCATTAATTTTATTGTAATTTCACACTTTCTTCCTAATTACTCGAAGGTCGGCTCCGTCGGCATGTAACTGCTGCGTTGTCAGTCGAACCCACAAGTATATTGAAAAATGCAACCCAATTATGTTTCAATGACATGTTTTACTTTCCTTTTCAACGATGTGAGGACACCAAAAGCAAAACAACGTGTTTCACCAGGCATGGTTCTACATGGCATGGTGGGCAATTTGAAACCAGACAGTCTGGCTACAAACAGCGCAAGCAGAAACGCTTCAGTGTGGAAATTCGTGGTCTGTGTCAACTGATTGAAAATTGATCTGCCATGTTCAACCGATACCCAAAAAGATTTCGATCCGCTGGACCGTGACATTTCGATGGCAATATTTGCTTTCGATAGATCGATAGTTTGGACTTTTCATTGTCACAGTAGCTCCGCAATAATTCAAACCTTGCAGTGAAACCGTTTCCAAAGTGAGTGTCTGACTTATTGCAACTGCGAACAAAAATTCAGTTTGCGACTAAGCTAAGACTGCTAATAAGAACATGACAGTGGCTGAACTTGATCTACTTTTCCAGCAAGATTTTATGTTAGCCGGTTGCCACGTGACATTCCTAACGGTACATTTTCCTCCGTTGCACTTCCTTCGGCGCTTGTTCCCTTACGCAGTACACAAATCTGCACTTCGTCAAACCGGCAAACCGTGGTCAACTGCAATCAGCACATTTTAGTTTTTTCTGCGTCCTTAGCCGCTGGTATCCGCCGATTTTGCTCACGGATGGTGATTCTTGCCTAGCCGCAAACAATAAATTTTCCCATACTGATTGAATTTGCGAAGCGTAGCAAAAGGTGACTCTGAGCTGGCTTCTGGATGGGCTTCCGGTGGTTGGAGGAGGTTTCGGGTGAAGAGTAACGGGCATGAGTGATTCACGCTGCAGGGCGAGGCCGCAATATTTCATTGAAATCTTGAAACTTCAAACATTAATCGTCATAGTGGGCTACGTGGTCGTGCGGTTTGCGGCGTCTCCCACCGTTCAGGTGTATAGTGTGTGCCACCATGCACTGTGGTCCGAAATGGCTTTTTTCCATAGAGCCTGTCCTTTTCATTTTAGTTTCAAAGACTTCCGGAGTGATTTGAGATTTGGGCGTAATTGTATTTGTAAACAAACACTTCAATCGCCGATTTATCGCGAATAAAAGTTCAATTTTGAAAACTAATAACACTATGAGGTAGAGGTATGATTCCTCTATCATTTGGTATAGTTTGTTTATACTCGGTGTGTACTGGAAAGATCGGTTTTCCAGACCGCCGCAGGCTAACTATCAACCCACAATGCAATTCCAACGTGGGGAAATCTTAAACCCCTACCCGGCGTGCGATGTTTACCTACGTACCGTTCCAGCGCACTTGCATAACGGGATGGCTGCAACTGCATCATGCGAGGCGTGTGTATGCAGGAATTCGTGTCTTGTACGAAATTGACGCACCCCTTGGAGGAAGACAATGATCCGGCAGACCCCGACATTATCCAGGACTTGACGACTTCTCTACATCAAGGAGAGGCACTCGTTTTTTCTACAAAACTGACACGCTCCATAGAGGAAGAAAATAACGAAAATAGTGTGAGAAGTGAAGAAGTTTTTGGTAACAATTATAACGTTTATAGAGACGACCGCAATTTTCAATGGTCTGGAAAAAAATCTGGAGGTGGAGTATTAATAGCTATTTCGACCAAATTGAATTCAGAAATCATTATGGCTACTAAATTTAAAGAATTTGAACATACATGGGTAAAAGCGCAAGTAGCAGATGAAACTCATGTCTATGCTTCGGTATACTTTCCTCCGAACAATGCTCATAAGGACACGTATGATAAGTTTTTTGGAAAAGCGGAAGAAATTTTATCTAGTTTACCCCCTGAAGTAAAAGTACATATATATGAAGACTTTAACCAACGCAATGTTGACTTTATTTCTGATATGGACAATGAAAGCATCTTACTTCCAGTCGTTGGGGAAAATGAAACACTCCATTTCATTTTTGACAAAATTGCAAATTTAGGACTTAATCAAATTAACCATGTGAAAAATCAACAAAATTGTTATTTAGACCTTTTATAAACAAATACTTATGAAGATTTCTGTGTGACTGAATCGTTAAGTCCCATATGGAGAAATGAAATGTTTCACACAGCAATAGAATATTCTTTATTCGTTCACATAAATGAAAGAACCAAGGACTGCGAATTTGATGAAATCTTTGATTACAATTCAGCAAATTATGATAACATCAGAAATAGATTGAACATTGTCGATTGGCAAGCAATATTAAGAACTGCAGGAAATGTTGAATGTGCAGTTGACGTATTCTACAATGTGTTGCTTCAAATAATACTTGAAGAAGAGCCAACTAAAAGAAGAAGACGTCAGAGTCATGCAAAACATCCGGTTTGGTACAACAGGGAACTGAAAAATTTAAAAAAAATCAAAAGCAAAAAGCGCACAAATTTTATAAAAAATATAATAGTGAAGAAACTTTGGCATACTATTTAGACATTTGCGATCAGTTAAATTTAGCCGTGAATATGGCATTTGAGGAGTACAATTTAAAAACTGAACTCTAAATAAAATCTTGTCCTAGGAAATTCTTCAATTATGTGAAAACCAAATTAAAATCTGATAATTTTCCATCAAAGATGCATTTGGACGATAGGGTAGGTGAGAACTCGGATGATATATGCAATTTGTTTGCAAATTTCTTCCAAGAAATCTATACTACGTTTTCAGAAGAGGACCGTGACCGTGAATATTTTGAATCTTATCCAGAATTTTCAAGTGACATCAGCGTAAGTCAAATCAAGGTTCATGATATCTTAAAGGGTTTAAACAATTTAGATGCATCTAAAGGTCCTGGCCCTGACGGTGTTCCGCCAGTTTTTATGAAAGCTTTAGCAACTGAACTTACTGCTCCATTATTTTGGATTTTCAATATGTCACTGGAATCCGGAAACTTCCCTGGAAAAACTGGAAAAACTCGTTTTTAGTGCCCATCTTTAAATCGGGCAAAAAATCCGACATACGTAATTATCGTGGTATAGCTATTATCTCTTGCATTCCGAAACTTTTCGAGGCGATTGTTAAATGAAAAACTCTTTCTTCAAATTAAAAACAGAATAACTACTATGGCCGTTCAACAACTACGAATTTGCTCGAATTAATTAATTATTCGTTGAATGCAATGGATAACGGAAACCATGTAGAAGTGTTGTATACAGATTTCAGAAAAGCGTTTGATCGAATTGACATACCCATGCTTCTTTTTAAACTTCAAAAAATGGGAATTCATTACGCACTCCTCAAGTGGCTTGAATCATATTTAACTGACCGCCATCAAATAGTAAAATACAAAGGAAATACATCAAATCCCGTTGATGTCACTTCAGGAGTTCCTCAAGGCTCCCATATGACATATCTTTCATTATTAAGAAATTGAAAGTTTTAATATATGCTGACGACATTAAACTTTTTTTTGGAAATAAAAGATGCCAAAGACATCATCACATTCAAAGAGGAAATTCAAATATTCCATACTTGGTGTCAAAAAAGCCTGCTACAATTAAATATAAAAAAATGTAACTCCATAACCATTAGTAGAAAACAAAAGCTACCCGATAAAACAGTCACTTTAGGAAACCAGATCGTAGAAAAGTGTGATAGAGTCAGGGATCTAGGTGTTATTTTGGACTCAAAACTTACTTTCACCGATCATCATAACACAATTATTAACAGAGCTAACAACATGCTTGGTTTCATAAAACGTTTCTGCTATAACTTTCACGATCCGTATACGATAAAAACATTGTACATTGCTTATGTAAGATCGATATGAGAATATTGCAGCATAGTTTGGTCACCTTTTCAATCACACACGAAGAAAGAATAGAGTCCGTTCAAAAGCAGTTTCTATTGTATGCACTCCGCAAGTTAGGTTGGACTGTATTTCCTCTGCCATCTTACACAGCTCGGTGTATGCTCATAAATATCCAAACATTAAAAGAGCGTCGTGAATTTGCTATGATTTCTTTCGTAAACGATATCGTATCACATCGCATTGAATCTATAGAACTATTGTCATCCTTAAATTTATATACACCATCTAGGCATTTACGAAATAGAAATATATTTGCTACAAATCGTCATCGTACGAATTATGCCAAATTTGGACCCTTGAACCAAATGATGGATACATATAATAAGCACTGCGATAACATTGACTTTACAATGACAAAGCAATATTTTAATTCCTTGCATAACGTCAGCTAGAAGTAATGTTTTAACTTGTTCTCAAGACGTATTATAAAAAATATAAACAAAGGAAAATTGTAAACATAGCTCTTAAGACAACAATTGTAAAACGGTCTACACTGATTGACGACAAATAAATAAATAAATAAAATAAATAAATATAAGATTGAGTTTTTATTCACGAGAAATCGGCGATTGACCTGTTTGTTTACAAATACAATTACACCCAAATCTCAAATCACTCCGGATTTGTTTGTCTGAACATCCTCTACAATTTGAACGTAGCGAAAATTTGGCATGCTATGATCAGGCCTGGTAGCAATCACTGCTGTCAAAAATAGTGATTTTAGTGGCCATGTTGATGAAATAAGTGACCAAAAAACTACAACGGACAGCCCTATGGGGTTGT